TTACTTTTGTTCGGGACCGAGGCCGTTGACGACAGTGAGCCGCCGGGTGCTATTCGCCAGTTGTTGTCCGAGTTTTCTGACTTTTTTCCGGATGAGATTCCGGCGGGCTTGCCGCCTTTGAGAGACATACAGCACCACATAGATTTGATGTCGGGTGCTTTGCTTCCAAACCGACCCCACTATCGAATGAGTCTGATTGAGCATGAGGAGTTGCGTCGGCAAGTGGAGGATCTTCTCCAACGTGGGGTGGTACGCCGGAGTTTGAGTCCTTGTGCGGTGTCTGCCCTGCTCATTCCGAAGAAGGATGGCGCGTGGAGGATGTGTGTTGATAGTCGGGCCATCAACAAAATCACAATTCGTTATAGTTTCCCGATTCCTCGCTTGGATGACTTGTTGGATCAGCTTCATGGTGCCATCGTCTTCACCAAGCTGGACCTTCGTAGCGGCTATCATCAGATCAGGATCCGCCCCGGGGATGAATGGAAGACGACTTTCAAGATTCGGGAGGGCCTTTTTGAGTGGATGGTCATGCCGTTTGGACTGTCTAATGCACCCAGTACTTTCATGAGGGTGATGAATCAGGCATTGAGGGCTTTGATAGGTAAGTGTGTCGTCGTTTATTTTGATGATATTCTTATCTACAGTCATTCAGTTGAGGAGCACTTGCAGCACGTTCGTTCGGTTTTGCTTATTCTACGTGCCGAATCATTCTTTGCGGCACCCCGCAAGTGTTTGTTTATGGTGGACTCCGTTCTTTTCTTGGGTTTTGTGATTTTTGGCGACGGTATTTGCGTGGATGACAGCAAGGTGGCCGCTATTCGGGAGTGGCCGACTCCTACCAGTTTTATCGAGGCTCGTAGTTTTCACGGGTTAGCTTCCTTTTATCGACGGTTTATCTCTCACTTCAGTTCGATGACGGCCCCTATTACAGACTGTCTTACGGGGAAAACCTTCGTCTGGACGCCCGCTGCCGAGGAGGCCTTTGCTCTCATCAAGTGCAAACTTACGTCAGCCCCTGTCCTAGTTCTACCAGATTTTTCTCGGCCTTTTGAGCTCTCTTGTGATGCTTCGAAGGTGGGGATTGGTGTCGTGCTTAGCCAGAAGGGTCGGCCTGTATCATTCTTCAGCGAGAAATTATCTGGGCCTCGCTCACGGTACAATACTTACGATGTGGAGTTCTACGCGGTGGTGCGGGCGGTTCACCATTGGCGTCATTACCTTTTTCACCGGGAGTTTATCTTGTATACCGACCACGAGGCTCTCCGACATTTGGCCTCGCAAGGTAGTATTTCGGCGCGGCATGCCGCATGGACGGCGTTTCTGCAGCAATTTACGTTTGTACTGAAGCATCTTTCTGGTACGTCGAATAAGGTCGCCGATGCCTTAAGTCGGCGCGTGTCTTTATTGACTGATATGCGCATTTCGGTGCTCGGGTTCGATATGCTTCGTGATGTTTATGCGGATGACTCTTTTTTCGGCCCTATTGTTCGCCGTTTAGCTGATGGTCCTTTCGAGGACTATACTTTGACTGATGGCTTTCTGTTTCGTGGCGTACGCCTTTGTCTACCGGCATGTAGCTTGCGGCTTAAAATCATTGGCGAGCTTCATGGAACCGGCCATGTGGGGCGTGACTGTTCGGTCGCGTTGGTGAGCCGTTCATACTTTTGGCCGTCCCTTCGACGTGATGTTGCCCGGTTTGTGGAACGTTGTCGAGTTTGCCAAGTTTCGAAGGGGGTCGCGACCAATGCCGGCTTATATAGGCCTCTTCCGATCCCGTCTGCACCGTGGCTCGCGATCAGTATGGATTTCGTCTTGGGGTTGCTCCGTACACAAAGAGGGTTTGACTCGATCTTTGTGGTGGTGGATCGTTTTTCTAAGATGGTCCACTTCGTTCCTTGCAAACGTACTACCGATGCCTTCCACGTGGCCCAGTTATTTTTTCGCAAGATTTATCCTTTGCACGGCCTTCCATCTTCTATCGTCTCGGATCGGGACACTCGATTTTTGAGTCATTTCTGGCGTAGTTTATGGCGCATGGCCAATATCCGACTGGACTTTAGCAGTGCGTATCATCCGCAAACGGACGGGCAAACGGAGGTGGTGAATCGCTCGTTGGGTAACTTGCTTCGATGTTTGGTGGGCGACAACCTTAAGTGTTGGGATCAGCGGCTAAGCCCGGCTGAGTTCGCGCATAATTCGGCCGTTAGCCGGGCGACCGGGTTCTCTCCGTTTCAGACGGTCTATGGGTTGCAGCCTCGCGGCCCTTCAGATTTGTTGTCTCTTCCGTCGGCAGCCCCGGTTGACAGACGCACGGCGGACGTTGTGGCGGAGCTGCAGGCCGGACATGCACAGGCCCGGGCCCGTTTGGAGGAGACGACTGCGAACTACAAGCGGCAGGCTGATGCACGGCGCCGACATGTTGAGTTCGAGGTCGGCGATTACGTTTGGGCAGTCTTGACTAAGGACAGATTCTCGGCTCATGAGTACAGTAAGTTGTCGGCGCGCAAGATTGGCCCGGTTGAGGTAATTCAGAAAATTAACCGGAATGCTTATCGCCTCCGTCTCCTTCTCATATTCGTACTTATGACGTCTTCAACGTCAAATATTTGGTGCCTTTTACGGGGGATAATTCAGACGGGGATGAGACCGGTTCGGATTCGAGGCCGAATCCTTCCCAATCGGGGGAGGATGATGGGGATGAGACCACGATGGCGTTCTTGGACAAATACGACCGGCTACGCATTTAGTTCTTTATTTCCTACATATTATTTATCTTTTATTTAGTTTATTTTCTAGTTATAGGAATACTGTTGGTAATTAAATAATTATCTTGTTTAGCAAGATAAGTGGTAGTAAGACTCTCTTATGCTTATATGTTGCTTCTGCTGGAGAAAATAAACAGACTATTCATTCTTCAGATTTATTAAACGTGAGTTACTCGCTTTCTTCCCTTTCATCTACTACGCTTCTGCATCACAGTCCTTATGGGTTCCAATACGCCAGAAGCATTTGGAACCATCACATCCTCTGGAATTCCCTCAACCAAAGTAGCATCAGGACGCGTATGATAAGCCTTGATCACCTTTGACAACTTGCTCCAGCTTCTAACTAAAATTCTAATCCATTTTTTACATTTCCTCTGATACTCCTCAGACCCGAAAATCGTCCTCACTTCCGCCTTCACATGGTTGAAGCGCACCGATTCCGAGAACATTGTTATGACCGTTTGAGCCAACATCGCTATTTTTGTTGAGGTTTAAGTTTTTTAAAGTCATGTTTTGGATGAATGTGACAGTTTCAATTAAATAATTCACATCTCCGATAGTACTAGTCGCCAGATTGTCCAAGTTATCATAATCCATCATCACATTAATGATTTCGGAGCCTGTTAACACTCCAACCGTTTGATTCTTAAACTCTTTTTAATTCCAACCACCTCTCCATCGTTCGAAACCCAATGAAGTATAAATCAGTCCTTCGGAAAGCAAGAGGCAATAGGATATCTTGATCTACTTCCAATGTAATACAGAAAAACTTGGATTCGTTACCAATTGGTTGTCGAACCGCGTTCATTTTGTACCCATGCACATAAATTTTGAGACGATTTTTAAGAACACGCATGAATTGTGAATAAGGTCGGGAACTTGTCATGTCTCTGATGGTGAATGACAGATTAAAGTTAAACGAAGGCTCATTCCGCTCGTTGTTCGCCATATCAATACCAAACCTATAGTAGTTAATTATCACAAGGATGGACATAAGAGAACTTAAAGCTGTAAACATTCAAGAAATGAAAATAGCACGCAATTTCTTAAATAAAAAATAACCAGAAAAAAAAGGAAAAAATTATATATATAAAAAAAAAAGTAACAAAATTTATTAATCACTGTTACCATTATTGAAAAAAATCCCCATCTCAATCAGTCAAATCTATACGGTTCAACTATTAACGTTCGCCAAACACGAAAACAAAAACAAAAAACAATGAGGTTGATTTGTCGGAATTCTCATCTTCTTTTCTGTGTTCAAGTGTCCAACCAAGATGCATTTAGTTCTGAAAATAGTTCAAGAGTCGACGGTACTTTAATCATGGCATTGGCAACTAGACCCTTTCGATGTCCCACTTCTAATGGAGTCCTCTACCAGCTACAGAACTCAAAAAAATTTTCCGATTGATTTTTTTCTTTTCCACCGAGAAGTTCATTGTCCGAGGTTTAGCAAAAGATCGTAACTAACAAACATTAAAAACAAGCGTGTCAAATCTGATATGGCACATAAAGTGTGAAACGGTCACTTGGTAGACACTCGATCCAGTTTTTATGGACAAGCCCAGTTTAGTAATGAGGCGGTCCCTGGAAGCCTTAGTGCTTGTTTTCTTCAAGGCCCTGCAGATTAATTTACTAAGTGGGGGTTGCTCGGTCCATTCTGTGAACACAGATTGGTGAAGAGTGATTTGCTCGGCCCATGTGGCGGCGGTATAATGGGCTCGGCCCATAAAAGAATAAGGGTAATGAAGAATTAGAGGAATGGGATGGAAGAAAGGTGAAGCGTGGGGCACAAGCTAAGCCCTTAGGTATAAATACGCAGACGAGACATATGGTAAGGGGAGACACTCTACAAACCCTAACCCTACTTACAATTATGTAGGATTCTCTTATACTCTTCTATTCCTTACTGACTTGAGCGTCAGAGAGTTACCGCCAGGAGCATCTCCCGGAGTCATTGCAGGTCTTCAAGAGCTTGAACCGGGAGAGGAACGGAAGGGAACCGGGTTGAGGTGTGGAAGTGTTATCAATTGGCGCCGTCTGTGGGACTAAACTATTTTCTCTTACCGATTGAGGATGACGAACACAATCGCGGATAACCAATTAAGGAGGAATTCAGACGATAGTTTGGAAGAGGCATGGGTAGCAAGGACACCCTATGGTGGAGGGCCGCCAAAAGGATGGGTTGCTGGAGAGGGCTCGATGACTACTCCCCTTGTTCCCCCGTCGGATCAGGAGAAGGGATCGGCGACTCAAGGAGTGGGCGAGGAGATAGTAATACGGGCATCGGTGCCAGAGGCGGTACCAGAAGGTGAAGAACCAAGAATGCAGATGACCAGAGAAAAATTGGACCGCATCGTTGCGGAGGCGGTGGGTCGGGCGTTGGTTGCACGAGACGCGGCGATGAAGGAGAAGCATACCACCATGATAGAAAGGCCGGGTGTGGAGGCGGAACGGTCTGCTGAAGTGGTGGAACGACCTATTGTGGCCGTGGAGCGACCAATTGTTAGGGTCGAGCAGCATGTCCCCGGGATACCTAGGCCTTTAAGGGGCGGTAGTCACTGCAGAGATGATCAAGAAGAGAGTTCAGTGATATCGCCAGTGGTTCCGAGGCAGTCCAGGGATGCGCTGATGGAGCAGATGGCTAATCAAATAAAAGAGCTCCAAGCAAGGGTGGAAGGCATGCGACATCTCAGGATGCAGGGTCATCCCTTCACCAATGACGTTTTGGGTGCCGATCTGCCTCACAGTTTTAGGGAGCCGAGTATATACTACGATGGGTCCTCAGATCCGGCAAGGCATTTGCGGAGTTTTGAGAATGTCGCGGTCTTGCATCGGTATAACGATGGCGTCTGTTGCAGAGCCTTTTTGACAACCTTGAAGGGTCCGGCACATGACTGGTTCCATCAGTTACCCGCAGGATCTGTCCACAGTTTTGACGCGTTTAGCTCACTATTTATCAATCAGTTCTCTAGTGCAAGGAAACACGAGAAGACGTATATGTCCCTAATGAACATGCAGCAGTGGGAGAATGAATCCTTGAGGGAGTACGTGACTAGGTTTACTCGCGCGTGCGTAGAGGTCCCTTCGGCGACTGAGGAGATAAAGGCTGGTGGGTTGACGAGGGGATTGAAAGCGGGGCATTGCAGAAATTCACTGGCTAAGAAGCCCGCCCGATCTTATGACGAGTTGTTGGAAAGGTGCACCAGGTATATGAATATGGAGGAAACAGAAGTTTATTTTGATGCACATGACAGGCACCGACCAGAAGATAGAAAGTCATGAGGAAAGGATTATAGGAGTGATGACCGGGTAAGGTCTTTATGAGCTAAGGGATCCACAGGGTAAGGTCTTTCTCAAGCCTTGAAATGTTGTTACTCTCAAGAAGTATTATTGTCAGTTTGATTGTAACTCTGAATTGTTTTTGAAACATTTATGTTTTGGTTATTGAATTTGGTTGTTGCATTAAGGATAACTAGAAGTTATTTTGAAACATTTATGTCTTGGTCTGATGAATGATCTAAGTGTGAATGACCCGTAATACAGAACAAAAAGTGTGTGACGGCTTAAGGCCGAGCTCTTGGGAGTTCGGGTGCTGTTCAAAGTGTGTGACGGCTTAAGGCCGAGCTCTTAGGAGTTTGGGTGCTGTTCAAAGTGTGTGACGGCTTAAGGCCGAACTCTTAGGAGTTCGGGTGCTGTTCAAAGTGTGTGACGGCTTAAGGCCGAGCTCTTGGGAGTTCGGGTGCTGTTCAAAGTGTGTGACGGCTTAAGGCCGAGCTCTTGGGAGTTCGGGTGCTGTTCAAAGTGTGTGACGGCTTAAGCCCGAGCTCTTGGGAGTTCGGGTGCTGTTCAAAAGGTGTGACGGCTTAAGGCCGAGCTCTTGGGAGTTCGGGTGCTGTTGAAAGGGTGTGACGGCTTAAGGCCGAGCTCTTGTGAGTTCGGGTGCTGTTCGAAAGGGTGACGGCTTATGGCCGAGCTCTTGTGAGTTCTGGTGCTGTTCAAATATGGCCACGGTCTCGACGTAAGGTAAGACCATGCTCCGGCTTTGCTCGGTCTTATTTGGAGACCCGACTTTGCGACTTGGGGATTCCATGGTTCGGTTCTATGTGTCGAGCAGGTTATTTTGCGGTGCATTACTTCGAAGTCGGTTAGCCTCGCTTGGGCAGTTAGGCGGGCATAAACCGAGCACATGGATACCGGGGCGTTTGCTCGGTTTTATGTGAGTATACGATAAGATGGAGTGTCGTGGATGCTTCGCGTGTGGCGACATTTGCGCGTTTGTTCAGTTTATTGTAGCTACAACCGAGTAGATGACGAGTCACGCATAGTACTGGCTCGGTTTTCCATGGACCGGGCAGGGGAAGTATCCATATAGGGACATGCGGAAGGTGCTCGACTTTACTTATAAACCGAGCAGAATGATAGGCATAGTGTTTGCTCGGTTTTCTCACGGACCGAGCAGGTGAAAGATCCACATGTTGAAACGCGGAAGGTGCTCGCTCGGTTTCTTATGGACCAAGCAGATGAACAATCCTTATGCCTCGCGTATGAAACGAGTTGTGTAATAGGCATAATGTTGGCTCGGTTCTTTGTCATAAAACCGAGCAGATGGTATTCATAAATAGTGCTCAGTTTTGTCCGAATACCGAACAGGATGTTCCACGCGATGTGGCTCGGTTTTTTTGGTCATAAAACCGAGCAGGTGATACGCATGTTTGGTGCTCGGTTTCGCCCGAATACCGAGCAGGATGTTCCGCGCGATATGGCTCGGTTTTTTGTCATCAAGAATGAGCAGGTGGTATTCACATTAGGTGCTCGGTTTTTCCCGAATAAGGAGCAAGTGGTTCCGCGCGATATGGCTCTGTTCTTTGTCATATAACCGAGCAGACGGTATTCACAATTATTGCGCGATTTCTCCCAAAGATTGAGCAGATTATTCTACATGCTATGGCTCGGTTTTGTTCATAGACCGAGTAGGGTGATCTTTGACGATGTGTGCTCAGTTTGGGAATAGACCGAGCAGTGATCTTTGCGGGTGTGTGCTTGGTTTTGTACATAGACCAAGCAAACGTATTAATCGAGTAGAATATTTGCGGAGTGTTGCTCGGTTTCACTTATGGACCATGCTCGGTTATCTTATGGTTGTCGGTGCTCGTTTGGCCGCGTATGCCACCGCTCGGTAGACACATACATTTTATTAGTAATTATCAAACGAGTCCATCGGGCTTGAAAAGCGTTGGCTCTTTTGATAATGGGGGGGCTAGATGATATGGCACATAAAGTGTGAAACGGTTCACTTGGTAGACACTCGATCCAGTTTTTATGGACAAGCCCAGTTTAGTAATGAGGCGGTCCCTGGAAGCCTTAGTGCTTGTTTTCTTCAAGGCCCTGCAGATTAGTTTACTAAGTGGGGGTTGCTCGGTCCATTCTGTGAACGCAGATTGGTGAAGAGTGATTTGCTCGGCCCATGTGGCGGCGGTATAATGGGCTCGGCCCATAAAAGAATAAGGGTAATGAAGAATTAGAGGAATGGGATGGAAGAAAGGTGAAGCGTGGGGCACAAGCTAAGCCCTTAGGTATAAATACGCAGACGAGACATATGGTAAGGGGAGACACTCTACAAACCCTAACCCTACTTACAATTATGTAGGATTCTCTTATACTCTTCTATTCCTTACTGACTTGAGCGTCGGAGAGTTACCGCCGGGAGCATCTCCCGGCGTCATTGCAGGTCTTCAAGAGCTTGAACCGGGAGAGGAACGGAAGGGAACCGGGTTGAGGTGTGGAAGTGTTATCAAAATCGTTACTATCATTATACCTTTGTACGTCCGTGTTTGAGGAATGACCTTCTTGAAAAAGCTAACTGTGCTTCCAGGAGCTTGTCCGAGTACTCTGCACGTATAGACACAGCTGTTAAAAGGTTAAAGCTAAGCCAGGGCAATTGTTCAAGTGAGCTTCCGGGAACTCGTTTGAGTACTCCCCACATGTAGCCGTAGTTGTTATTGTTAAATGTTAAGAGTCGAGCCAAGGCAATTGGTCTCGGCCAGCCTTGTGAAAGTATGTAAGAGCATTGCAGCTCATGTATAAGTAACAATTTGGAAAAAGAAATTTACTGCACTCTGAGTCTCTGGATATTTGGTTACTATCCCCACTTATCTGGTGATTACTATCCCACATATTTGGTTACTGCAAAATGATATTTACTATCCCACTTATTTGGTTTGCATTAACTCACACCAACTGTTAACCTTATTTTTTTTTTATTTTTTTTTTCATCTAAACTTCTTATTCGTTAAATAGTAACTTAATAGTACATCAAATTATGCAATGTAGAAGGGGTATATTAGTCCAATAAAACATTTAAAAGGTCAATCTCACTATTCAAAGTCCAAAGTATGCAATGTAGAAGGGGTATATTAGTCCAATAAAAAATTTAAAAGGTCAATCTCACTATTCAAAGTCTCACAGATGTTTTGGGCTTAAATAGTTTATTTATCATGTGCACATTTTATCGGTTGACAAAAGCAATGAACCTTTTTTTTAAAATATATATATATAAATAATTTATTAATCCCATGTCATCAAATCCATACAAATACCATAAAAGTTCTAATATTGTTAATTATTATTGCAGAAAAAAAAAGGATAAAATTATAACTAATATTACCTCAATGGAAAAAAAAAATAATCAGTTATGTTTATGCTATTTAAACATCTCATCAAATAAGAAGAAAATCATAAGACTAAGATGCCCCTCACTACTTGACTAGTCAAAATTACAGCATATAGTCAACAGGTGGTCAACAAGTGCTTACTCTGTGATGAGGATAGTTGATGAGGATAGAATTATTATTATTATTATTATTATTATTATTATTATTATTATTATTATTATTTAATAATTAGTAGTTTGAAGAATAAGCTAGGGTTTAATTTAGGGGTTTTATTTAAAAGGTTTTATGCTTTGTTATTAGGCAGTTGAATTTGAGAATGAAAAATTAATCGTGTTCTTTTGGGAGAGTATCCCAAGTTCGAGAGAGTATCTCGTTTATCCTTCCCATTCGTACGCACTTCCTACATCAGTTGGTATCAGCAGTCAGTACGATCACGATGTCGCCGGGACGAGAAGATGTCGTCAACGATCAACGTGACGCAACCTTCAACGATCGGTTTCAACAGATTGATTACCGATTTCAAGAGTTGGACGTGCGTTTTACGAATTTGTTTGCCGATCTTTCAACGGGGATCGAGGATGCGTGTTTGACGCCGAACAACGTGGTTGTTACGGAATGGAAAACGGACCGTGATGGAAGCCGTGACTATCACGGGGGATACAGAGGCGGTCGTGAGGGAAGCAACCATGTCGGGGCGCCCCGACAGCGGTCCCAACCACCTCTGAACGGCAACGGCGTTGGCGACTCTACCAGGTCGGCTAACTCGTTTACAAATCGACCATCGTGGAGGGGAGGCAAAACCCTAGGTCAGCCCCGATTTCCCTAGTGGAGAGGACAGCGAACGGCGGCACTTACAGGAAGGGCTTCGCTTCGCTGTCGACAGCGGCGACTTCTTTGTCCGCGAGCCACGCTGGGCCGCTGAGGATTTTTTCATGGCCGGCGACCACGATTGGAGGCAAAAAGTGACAGGTTTTGGTGAAAGCGGAGGCCGCGAGGCTCGACAGGGCCAACTTGGGACAGCAGTGGTTGTTGATGGCGGGTCTGGTTCTCAAGATCGGCGGCGCGCAGCTGTCGATTTCGCCGGTGATGGCGGTCTCAATGGGCGGCACAGAAGCAAGAATGAGGCTGTGCACAGAGGTTCTCTAATTTTCAGATTTCACAGACCGATAGTACAGAGAGAAGGAGATGGACGCCGATTTTGGGCGTGTGGAGGAGATAAGTTAGGGGGTGATTTTGGGCCTCACGTGGAGCAGCCCACCTGGGAAATTTGGGCTTATAAAGTTAACTGCAGGAATTGGAATGGAACAGATGAGTTTGGCAGCAAATTTAGTCAAGAGGTGGGCCCGTTTTGAGCTGAAATTTTTGCCTTCAACGATGATCACGTT